CATATGCGCTGCTACTGACTTCTGAAAGTGCGCTCGAACATTTTTTAACGCGCTGGCGCCTCCGAAACGTACGAAAATCCTCTGGCGCGAAAATTACGGGGTACTTCGAAATACCGGAAAGCACGCGCGCGCGTACAAGTACTGTAAAGTTATATACCGGTTCGGTCGATCGAGCTGTCTCCAGCTGACTTTTGTAACAATCTCGACGGGATGATATCAGTTTATTGCATTTTAATATTCTTTATTTTATTGCTCCTATAAATCCATTTGTGTCCAACATCGTGCGAAATTTCGAATTTGTCGCGCGATTCAAATTCTTATGTCAACCGAAAAGTAGTCTGATACTCTATAATTAATGTGATATTCAATTCAAAAGGCGAAAATCGCCAAATGATTTCCAATCATTTTTTGCAAATATTTTATGAGTTGAAAGTATCTGAGGTCCTATATAATAAAAATATTTGCTTATTTTTATTTGATTTCAAATAAGCATTATTATCGGATTGGAATTTTACAAGGAGAAAAGTATAAATAACATCAATTGGCGTATAAAAAATCAGTTTTGACTATTAACATTAAATAGTAATTAAAGTGAGAATCTATTCCATAGTTGAAGCTACATATAGGCGAAATACTAAAATAATTAATCGTATTCGGAGCTATCGGAAGAAACTGAATTTTGTAATGTATGTCAGATGTCTAAGTACGCCATTGTTGGAATGTACCACATAAATCATCCAGTATAAACTAATTAATAATTCAAGAACATATTAATATGTATGGTCATATAAATATTGATGTTCCATGCCGAAGTTATTTAAATTCTAACTTATCTGTTTGACACATGCTCATATATGATCTAGACAATTTTCCAGTAGTATAAGCAGTATAAAGAGCCAAAGAGCTGTTTACTAAGGCAGTCCAGTAGTACTAAAAAAATAAATGTATTTCAGGAAGCTAAGCGTGGGTAGGAAGGTGGAGGAGGCAAGAAAGTTATATGTAAGACGGAAAAGTCACGTTCTAAAAGAGCACAGTGCCATATTAAACGGCAAGGCGAATGGGCGTGGCGCCGATTTATAAAAATATAAGAACGGCAATAAAGATTTTAAAAATCCATAAATAAAGGCCGGGACCGAATCTCCATTCGAGCACAGCAGAAATAAATCGTATGGCACTTTGTTAACTCCAATTATATGCATCGTATCCCTCCGTACAGTCATATAGATTCACGGCGGCCGCTGTAGATCCCTTCTCCACACCTCAATAAACACTGTGTTGTTGCCGTTTGTGCACCATCGGCCAAAACACAAGGAGAGTGAAAGAGCGGACATTAGGTTCAAAATGCGCGCGTTTTCTCAACGTCGCAATGCGTGTATACCTGACGACCCAAAGACAGATGTAATTATATTTCGGAAGAGTTTTATGGAGGTAAGACTGTGCATGGCGCGAGCGTTCCACTGAGCGAACTAAGCTATTGGTCGCCGGTCCTTTTCACCACTTTTGACTGGAAATGTAGGGGTGAATAGAGGAGGAAGAGAGAGTGTCCTCGAAAGAGAGTGGGACGTGGATGAAATGAGAAAATAGGGTCCGAGGGGGGATAGATAGATAGATAGATAGATAGATAGATAGATAGATATATATATATATATATATATATATATATATAGAGAGAGAGAGAGAGAGAGAGAGAGAGAGAGAGAGAGAGAGAGAGAGAGAGAGAGAGAGAGAGAGAGAGAGAGAGAGAGAGAGAGAGAGAGAGAGAGAGAGAGAGAGAGAGAGAGAGAGAGAGAGAGAGAGAGAGAGAGAGAGATGAAAGCATAGCCATTACTGTAAAGCACATTTGTACCTGGAATCAATTGTCCAGTAGAATTATTTTAAATACTTGTAAGGATATGAAACACTTGCAAGACAAGGAAATAAAAATTTTTGTCCCTTTCTTTCTATTATTCTCTTTGTTATGCATTCCGCGAATAGCATTATCCAAATATTCTAACAGTACTTTAGTATGTAAGTATCAAAAAGGTTCACCCTTTCCTTAATATTAAATATCGAAAGGAACTGATTGCATTTACAGTACTTTCAAAATTTTTCCATCTATCACAATTAATAGAACCTCGTGTATTCTTTTATTATATTCAATTATGCATTAGATAGATAATAGAATACATGTTTAATTAGATAGTTGAAAATTTATTTAGTAATATTAGTAATTATTTAAAATAATGCCAAATTTACATGTGTATTACTTGTATGGGCATGTATATACGTGTATGTACTCGGTACATATACATTGGCGCTAATTCTAATCAAACCACAGATAACGTATCCCAGATAGAAAATACATATGAAATTATATAATTGGATAGTCTCAGTCTTTAATATTGTTAAAACGAATTCAAATGGACATTAGTTTGTACTCGAGCATCTAGAACTTTTTACTCAGTTAAATCGAATTAATGCAAAAATTTATACAATTTTATAATTATTATTTCTTAATATGATTCATGATTATGTTCTGCCGTTGAATTACTTTTGTATGATAATACGATCAGCATGATATTTATTCGTTACATGACGTAATTTGTACATGACGATAATCAAAATTCTAAAATGAATTTTCAATTGAAATTTGTGATCTGTCCATTAGAAAAGAAACTGCAAAAATATTCCCGAATGGACAAATATTTAAAATTCATATTTAATATCATATATTGTATTTGACAATTTTCATAACAATAAGATATTACCTGAAAATTATATTCGAATATTAACTGTAATAAACAAAATGACGTAAATGCTTCTGTGAATGTACATAACTACGTATTTCCAAACTATGTATTTGAATTGCTTTAGAGGGTATCAAACCATCCTGTATTATTATTTCAAAACTGTTCCATTAGTTGTGAATTGATTTTAACTCCACCTGATCCGAAGATAAGCATTTCAATATAAGTTTTGATTATCAAATTTAAACAATGACATTTTTATAATACTATCAATAACTGTTTGTTTATTGCAGACTTATAATAAAATCTTTGATACAAGAATACTAGAATTATGTATATATATATATATATATATATATATATACATTATTTCTAAAAAAATCAGTTGTTAAAATTTAATACTTTATATTATTGAAATTTTTAATTTCAAAACACAGAAAATTTCGTAAAAAAAGTTATATAAAATCACTGAGTAATTTTATTTTATCCAATTATATCGTGTAAATATTGATACAAGCTTACAAAACTATATTTTCCTATTAAACATTGACAAAGCTTTTCAAGCTTAAAGTTAATATATATGTGTAAACGTACTTTTACATAAGTATTGATATAAAAATATTATTATTAAAATTAAGAAGTTTAGTTTTAGTAAAATTTTTATTTATGGAATTTTACAGCGTACATATAAAAGAAAATTACGGAAATTGAAATTGTAATGAAAATAATTTCAACGCTTTTAAAATAATTGATTTATAAATATAAAAAATATAAATTGTAGATAATATTTAAACTGCATTTCCAATTCCTTCATTTTAAAATTTTGTTTTACTCTTACAGTCTTTATTATATAATTGTAATATAATTTATAATCGATTTATAATATAATTAATAATTGCAATAATTAATAACAATTTTAAAATTTAAAAAGAAATGGGTATCAATATACGTTTATTTATGTTACTTTTTTTCATGTTCATTATGGAATTGACGGATAAATTATTTATTCAAACGAACTATTAAACTCCATGGTATTTGTGATTAAAATTACTCTAACTTTATCATTACTTCCTAGTTTGTTATCAAAAGATTATATATACGTATTTATGTGAATGTAAATGAAATCTTTCATAAGTTATCGTTAGATCACGTCCGCTTTTACATTCAAGTAAATTTGATTAACAACAACAATAATAATAATACTTTTATTATGTCAATTAATAACAAGGATACTTTGAAAGTACAATAAATTTTGAAAATGTATTTGGAGAATTCGAGTAAACAGGCGAATTTTCAGTGTAGGTCCTTGTATGTTTGAATAAGAAATGTTATCCGTCAATTACAAAATCATTGATTGCTATCTTTTTTTTTATGTAGGTGACCTAGTATAAATATACTGTTAACTGTAAAAAATTGCTTTATGAAATTAATAATAGATTTATATTGGTATTTTTTAAGCGCCTGAAATTCACTGTGTAAATGAAAAAGGGCATTTTAAATTCAGAGGAGTGACGAGGAAATTTTCTTTGAATGTAAAAATTATGAAGTAATATATTATTATATAGGATTAGAAGCCCGCTGAGTAAACGGCAGATTAGATTTGAATTTTTATATATTTTTAAATACATAGAAAATAATATATGGTAAAGAGGTATTGTTTGTTTTTTCTTAAACATTGAAAATTGTGGACAAAAACGAATATATATAATATTGTATTGTAATATTTTTAGAATGAGATTTCTGCTCTCTTCCACGGTAAATATTGGAATAGATATTTTTAAAAATTATTTAATTTCAACTTTAAAAAACTTAAAATTATGTTCGCTAAACAATGTAGTGACTATTGTGTGGCCAATTGAATTTGTTTTCCAAGATTTAGAGATTTAAATTTGTGCTGCATGCAGTATTATCTAAAAAAAAGAGATTGATTTTATGAAATAAAATTCTTCATCGCGCGACCTATTTAATTGTATGAAAGTAAATTTAAAAATTAATAATTACTAGATTACCTAAGATTATGCTGGTGTCATATATAAGTGAAGTAAATGTTGACATCCCCGACCGAAGGAGACGCGTACTAACGAAAGTTAAAGTCATCGATAAAATTCAATAAAATTTTAAGGAGGCTGAGCGATTACGCCGGAGTTTATATTCAGCGTCCGCCCTGGCAATTAGGCCGGGCAGCCTATCATCGATCATCGGCTCACGCGCTATCGATCCCTACCTCTTATTATATCATTATTATATTATTAAATCTCCATTCCCACAGCAGTGGCTTAGGCAAAAGGGGACCGAGTGGCCGGATGTTGGGCTGGCTGTAACGGACTGGAGAGGCATCGCCTGGCCCGAGGAAATTTGAGGGGCTCGTAAGCAGGGTGCCCTGACTTAATATCGAAATCTCATTGGAATCGCGCTATCGTGCTATTTCGCAAAGAAGCAGTTTCGCGACTCGGTCATCATCAGCCGGAGCCCCGTCCCGCTCGCCTCGGTGTCGAGACGGCGGCTCGCCGTCGTGGCGGCGTCGCTCGCTGCCGGCGCCATTGCCTCGGCTGCGATTGGCGGAGGAGCGCGCCGGACCTGGAGTGGGACGGGGCAGGCCGGGCGGTCCCCGTCCCGACCGGGCGGAGTCAAGCGGTCGCAACGCGCGGAGTCTCGGGGTCACAATCGCGCCGTCGCTCGTACTCTCAACATCGGCCCCGTTCGAGGCCGTCCGAGACAGTCAGAGAAACGCGCGGCGACCCTCCGACTTCCCGAAGTGCGATCGCGATGCGCGAAGTGCCCGGCTCGTAGGCGACCGACCGTAGCCGTCCCATTCCGAGAGTCCGCCTCCTCCAGGCGAAGAGTCAGAGCAGTTCTTACGGACCCGGAGCAATATACCGCGCACGGACATGGTGTCGTATTATAGTTCGCTGATGTATCGTCAGCAGCCGAGCGTCGGCCATCAGCAGCAGCAGCAGGCCGGCCTGTCGAGCCAACAGTCCTCGGCCTCTATGTCACCGGAGCAGAGCTCACCCCAGGCCCAGCAGCTCGGCCCGCCGCCCCCGGCTCAGCAGCACGTCCCCGAGGGCCAGCAGTGTGCCTGGTACGGATACGGGCACCATCACCATCATCACCAGAGCGCGGCCCAGCAGTATCTCGAGCACGAGGTACCCCTCTGGACGCCTCATCCTCACGCGCATCCCTATCTTCAGTATCAGCAGCATCATCAGGCTTATCAACAGCAACAGCATCAACAACAACAGCAGCAACAGCAGCAGCAGCACCCCACTCCACAACAGCAGCAACAGCAGCAACAATTGCAAATAACGGCTGTACAGGGCTCGTTGGAATGGAGTGGCGACGAGGGCAACAACAACAACAGCACCAGCAACAACAATAACAACAGCACTAGCAACAATAATAACAATAATAATGGTGGTATAGGGGCCGGTGAGCCCAGTCCTCCCATCACCGTAAGTGGCAGCGAAATCAGTAGCCCTGGAACGCCGGCCTCGCCCGTTGCCAATAACAATAACATCAATACCGCCAACAACAACAACACGGTACCAATGAGACCTGGTCAGAACAGAAGCCCCTATGAATGGATGAAGAAACCCTCGTATCAGAATCAGCCCAATCCAGGTGAGCTTAACAACGTTCGTCGCTGCCATTGCTATATTACAATTAGTACTCGTATTATTTTTACTATTGCTGTTATTATTATGTACTTTTCGGGTACTCTGGCCGAATGAGTGAGGCGAGTATTAAAAATCGTGTCGCCTCGGCGTCAAGGAACCCAACGTCTCGCGAATCTCTGGATCAATCCTTAGGATGATTACTCGGTAGATCGAATACTTACGACGCGTGATACCCTTCCCGCCCCGCCGTTCACCGCTGAATTCATAGATTTTCTATAAAAATGATTGAGAAAAATGGTGTTCCGTGGCCGCCGATGCAATAACTTTGCTTATAGCCGAGGCATCGAAGCGCCTAAAGAGTACCTGCTACACGTAACCAATGATAAACAAATTGTAAAAAGTTGGCGAAATTTTGCAAGGGCTTAGCCGTTGATTTAATATGGCAATTGCCGTGGCATCATTGCATATTTCAGTTTGGCAATAAAGAATACTTTGCACAAAGCAAGACGGGCATTTATTAAACAATGGCGTGTCGCACTCGATTAATGAAACTAAATGTCGTAATTAAATGACGAGCCGCACGTTTATAATAATAGCCATTTTTATCGGATAGAAACGGGGAAGGCTTTGTAAGTCTGTTTTATCAATGTGTTTCGTAATGTTTCGCGATAAAAATTATTATCGGTAGATTTAAATGCTATTTAAATTTGCTGAAAGAACGAGGATAGATCGGGTGAGAAAAATGTCATTGTGAGTTGAAAGAAGTGAGGTACGATTAAATATTAAATAAGAAACGCTCCGTAGGTTCTCACGTAGGCAGATATCCAAGAGCGTAAAAGGGGAGTGAGATAGATACGAGTCGCTTTGGGGAAGAACCGCGTCTCAGTGTTCCCGATATGACAAAACGGTGCAAACATGCTTAACAGCTAGGCAAACATCTAATTGCACTCAAATATTTGTGAGCTAATCTACGTCGACGGGAAACGAAAGGGAAAAAAAGAGAGGCAAGAGGCTCGTGGTAAGAAAGCAGCCATGTGTGATGATGAGCTCCACATACGTCCAAACGTGTATTACGATACGCCGCCCAGCATCTCGCCCATTGTCAAATAAACCCACGGCAATGACATTTTCAATCGAACTCTTAGTTTAAAGGCGCTGCTCCGGTGCCTTGTCCGCCCATCCGTTTACTTTAATTAATTGGAGAAAGATGGTAAACCTCACAAATTTCACGCGCAAGCACGCACACGTACGTGTACACAAACACACATACAGACACACGTGCATATATATATATATATATATATATATATATATATTGTTGCCGAGATTCAACACGCACACTTATTAATGCCAATTCTCCTTATCTTATTCATCATAGATTAGGGCATTGTCGATGCCAACAGTTATTTCATTATTTCTTTTTCGTTTTAATATTATCTTCTATTATTAATTAGCCACTATCTTTACCGCCAACATTAACGATATCTACATTTATGGAATTTTATACATAAAATATCCGTGCCCGTATAATAACATTGGCTCGAAAACTCGTACTGTTGATTAGCTCGAGACGAAAGGCCGAGCAACTCGAACCAATCAAGCTCACGCCATAATGACAGCTGACAAATATCATTTGACAATTGTAAAATAATCACGATTATTTACGAATGCTGAGAAGCATCGCACTTCAATAAGTTTGTGACAATAGGCTTTTTAGAGAATCCCAAGACGACGAATAATACATCCAAACTCCTTGGTGACAATATACGTATTTATTTAATTCTTATCGAATAGAGGCCTGACAATTTATAGAAAACAAAAAACAAGACAAAAAAACAAAACAAAAAAATAAAGGCCAGAAACGGTAAATAATAGCGAACTGCGCATACGAACGACAAGGCGCGATGAAACAAAAAATTTGTTGGCAGCCCAACGTGTACACGAGTGGTGCGAACCGCGTGCTCGTTGTCGGCGCACCAGCAAACGTGGTGGGTTCTCGAGGATATCCTGTACAGTTGGAGAAGGACCGCCGCAAGCTTGGCAATAGCCTCTGTATATACGCATGATACGGGCAGGTTTGATAATAAGGACGGATGATAACTTTTCAGCGATATGAGACGATGCGCCTTGTGCCGCGACCTAGTCTGCGAGCAAGGATGCTTGAGAAATGTCATCACTTGTATCTCTATTGTTGCAGCGTGCAACATTGCGAACGCGACAGCCGCAACATCAGTCCCGGCCCTCCACGATCTCTGCACCTTAGACGTCCTTGGTACGCAAACGTATAAATCACTTTACTGCCAATTTCAAATTTGCCTACTTAATATTTATTGCGTTACATTATTTGCTGCTTATTTTTAATTCGGTTTACATTCTTTTCCGTTTGTTCATATGCGTTGCGCCATTCCCCTGCGTTGCACCTTTTACGATGAGCTTTAATTAACTTATTATGTCTATTATGCAAGCATGATTATCTGTTATATATCGTTTTAACTTTTAACTCTTTAACATATTACATGAACTTATTACGTTATTTATGGCGTTATGTATTATGCGTGCATGGATATTAGTTTTAAGATTGTGTATGGTTAATAATATTGCCGTACGCATAGGGTTATGGATATTTACCAAACGAACAATAAAGCATGAGATGCGAGCATTGAGAGACATTACGACAATCGATGGCGAGAAAGTTCGCTGTTATAAAGGGTCCCCCGGTAGACGCTCAATAAGCTGTCGTTGGTGTTCTGTTTTCAAGGTAGACGTGCGCGTCGTTCTAACATAAAACTATGGACAACAAGGAGACCCGGGAGCAGGATAGGATAAGAGCGCACACATAAAGCCGAATACGCCTGCAAGAGGAGTGCGGGGAAAAATAGAATCGGTCGTTTCGCGCGGGCCGCTTGACCATTGCGCAATGCACCGCGAATCGTAAATAGAAGTTAGTCGTAGGGAGAATCTCTCCCTTTGTAAGGCGACGCGAGGCGAACAATCCTTTTTACTATTCGAATACGAGGCGCAATGCTGCAAGTATTATGTGCACGGCCATTCCATGCCTCGTAGCTCTAGAGAAAACACATCGGTTTGCCAGTGCTCGTCTCGTAGCTATTCAAGCGATATCATACACGCGCGTGCACGCACACATACGCAGACACGCATACACATGCGCGGGCGCGTATAAACGCAATCAGATATATATCAACCTTCCCATTAAAATCCAGCTCGTTTTTATTCCCCCGTAAGGACGGTTGGTGCTACTCCTTCCTCGGTATCGTCGAAGCAAAAAAGGACAGTACGAGACTTGCTTGCGTGCTGCACGATTCCATCATGAACTTTTCTTCTCTTTCTCTCTCTCTCTCCCTTGAAATCGCGTTCGGCCATTATCTGCATTTTATGGTTATATTGCAGTCGGGCAGTCGCTCGCTATATAAAGCCACGCAGTGTCTCATTCTCTCTCTCCCTCTCTCTCCCTCTCTCTCTCTCTCTCTCTCTCTCTCTCTCTCATCGTTCTGAAAGCGTATTACAATTTTGTGCCCTCCTCCTTCCCTTTGCCCCTGTCTCTCTACCGCCCTTCCCCCCTCTCTCGCTCTCTCTCTCTCTCTCTCTCTCTCTCTCTTTCGTGTGCGCGCGCCTGCACACACACACGACCTACGTTTTTTTCTCAGCATGAACTCGTTTCTTTTTCCCTCCGCTCTTTCGCAATGCGAGCCCGGTATTTCCTCCCCAGGCAAGTGAGCAAGAGTTGTTTCCTCGCCCAATGGTCGCGCATTCCCACCACCCCTCCTCCTCGAGTTTGTCGTGTGGCTTCTCTAAGCTTCTGTCTACGATTTTTTCTTCGCTCCTTGGGCGCCATTTTGGTGCTCGCGCGACTCGCATCGAACGTCCGTTTCGCAGGAGTCGCTCGCGGATGTTGAGCCAAAGCTGAAACCCAGCTTCTCTCGCTCTCGATAACGATTATTCACCGTACGGCCGTATCGGTAGCCGAGGCCTCATCTATCCAAAGGCTACTTTATTATCGCCCGGATCCTCCGACTCACGCATCCCCATTATCCCCGTGTGCCAAGCAAATGCTAACTGCGCACGTCATTCGGCAATATCGCAAGGAACTCGATGGGCACTCGGTGATTAAACGGTAGCGGCTGCCGCAGAGGTCGTGAGCCATGGTGTCTAAAAATGCAAGTCCAGGTGGGTGCGCCGGGGGCCGTGAAGGTGGAGCTAGAGCGGCTGGACTGGCCGGGCGGGGAGGATAGGCGGAGAGGCAAAATGCGGCGTAAAATTGACAATAACGATGCAAGTAAAGCGTGCCGGGGACGGACATGGTCCTGCGGGAAAACGGACCGAGTCCGGGAAAAGCCACTTGCGACGGTCCTCGCGCAAAAGTCGCCCTCAATGCGGACGGAGGAACGCCCACGACCCGACGGGACATTCGCGCCGGGATAGACACGGCTTCCACAGCTGCCCCAGGGCACAATACCCGGGGAGACCTCCGCACGCGCGTTGTCATTTGTTTTGCCAACAATGGAGGCCAATTAAACGCCTCGAGTGTTGCCCGCGCTCCTGGGGGTATGCGATTCGAGCCGCGCCCGATCTTCTTGGAAGGGACCTGCCCCCGACCTCCGGTCCCATTTGTTCTTTTCCTTGTTTGCCATGGCCGTGGCTTTCGGTCACACTCGACTCTCATTCTTCTATGCTTCCTCCAGCTTCCTCCCCAACATTATTTGCTTCGTTCAGCTCCTGTCATCGGCACCTCCCTCCTTCAGCCGCGCGTGTTCACTCGCACTTATCCATTCGCCCATTCGTCTCGCAAGGTCGCGACTTCTCCTTTCATACTTGTTCTCTCTCCCCCCTCCCTCCTCTCCCAAAACCATCAATCCCTCTCCAGCCCCCTTCTACCCCCACCCCTTCTAACACCCCCCTCCCCCCTCCAACTGAGTCTCTTGCGCAACGTCCGAGTCGTTGGACCGATTCGGAGTCCGGGACACGCGTGACGTTCCACCAACGCTC